TACGCCAGGAAAAGTAGCAGATTGTACTCCTCGGTCTCCTGTACAATCTGCCGCTGTGGTCTACGGTACTGAAGCCTTTCCGGAAACCAGTTTGTTCAGGAGGCTGGAAGTCATAGAGTCTGTGTGAGAGACGATTCGAAACGGCTCTCACAATAGAAAACAGCACGTAGACGCAGCTCAAAAGGGAAATCGGTCTGTAGTTCTTTAAGAGAGCGTTGTCGCCTTTCTTGAAGAACAAGACCACCGCACTTCTGCTCCATGCTTTTGGAGTAGTGCCAACATGGAGGACGAAGTTAAGAGCTTCGAAAGGACTTTAAGTACCGGTGCTCCACTCGCTTTCAGAAGCTCCGCTGTAATTCCATCCTCGCCTGGGGCCCTACCGTTTTAAGGTGCTGGAAAGCCATTACAATCTTGCTCAGACTGACGTCCGGGAAATCATCGGAACAGTGACAGATAAGACTTGCTTTTGGATCGATACTCACACTTGCGTGTGGCTCCAACGGTGATGTGTACAACTGCCCATAGAACCTCTCAATTTCACTCAAAATCTCAGGTGTCCCGGAAACGATGCTGCCACACTCAGTCTTCAGCTTTGACAGTTGGCTCCTTTTGGCAGACAGATTTCTGGCAAAGACTTTAGAGCCCCGGTTCCGCTCGATCGCTTCTTTAATACGAGCAGTATTAAAGTTGCGTAAGTCCCGCCCATGCATCTGGAGATCTGTTTGTTCAGTTGCCTGTATGCTGTCAAATCTGCTGACGACTGTAACTTTATCTCCCGTCTAACAGCCATTAGATTAAGAGTGTAATCGGAGAGTTTTTGTGTACTTCTGCGGCGGGTTTTGCAGAACTTAGCTTCGACCGTATGGACAGTTTCCACGAGCTTGTCATTAATATCGTCCACTGCATTGCAATCTTCTAGGCACTGAAAGCGATTTCGTAACTCGAGCTGAAAGGTTTCGGGATTTTGGATTAGAGCACGAGGAGGACGGAGCGTTGACTTCATTAAAAGACCCCTCTCCAACTTAACGTTTAGGTTCAGTGTGCCTCTAACCATTCGGTGATCGCTGCCAGTTTTCACATATACATCATAGTCGTCATAATGAAGTCATTTTTTGTCGAACCGTCTGCGCTCGGCTAGATCCACTTTCTGTGGGGCCGCTTCTGGAAGAAAGACTTCATCATAAAGAGTCATTTTCTCCATGAAGTCGGCCCCTTTAGTTCCGTTGCCTTCCATTGCCATTGCCCAAATTTCCCTACCTTCAGCTCACCGTTCTTTCTTGTGCCTAGTTTTGCGTTGATGTCTCCCATCAACACCGTATAGTAAGTTTTGGAGGAATGCATGGCTCTAGAAATATCCTCATACATTTCCTCCACCACCTCATCGGGATGTGCCAAGGTTGGTGCGTGAGCCTGTATGACCTACAGCGAATACCGTATGGTGGTTCTGAGTATAAGGTACGCAACCCTCGTCGACACACTCCCAATCTTTACAACGTTGTTAACGAGAGACTTGTGGACGATAAATCCTCCTTAGGACAGATGGTCGCCCTCCCGGTGATAAAACAAGTTGCTGGATTCGAGAATCACCGTGTCCTCCCCGTCTTTTCGGACCTCGGATAATCCTATAATATACCAGCGCAATTTGTCTACCAATCTGTCTTCTTCGTGCTCCAGGATCTTCTCGTCAGTCCTAAGGGTGCGTGCGTTATATGTTGCCAGGTCGAGTCGTCGTAGGTGGCAACCGAACCTTCACCGGAGATTCTTAGTACCCCCTGTTCCGCCATTACCATAGTCGCCACTGTAGCCAGGAATAGCGGGGCCACCGGGTCTCGGGGCCGTTTCTTCGTTACTCTCATCATGGGGGGTATATTGCCATAGTTGTTACACTTGGCGAGCGGGTTGGCAACCGCAGTTTTTTAAAGCTGTAAAATATAAAACTATTTTGCATAAATGTAAGAAGAAACGTTGAAGTTCATGCAAAGTTCAACGTAGTCATAGTATCACTTAGATTGTTAAAAGAATCAAACGGCATTGTCGATTTTACCGATGAAAAAGATTTCTGAATGAATTTCTTAATGAATGCCAATTTCCATAGCAGTTCTTTTCAGGAATACACAACAATGTAGGAACTTTGAGCTAAGATTATTTTGATATTATTATATTTCTTCTAAGGCTTCGATTCTTTTTGTTTTATTATCTTTTTGTATTATTATGATGAATGACAAATGAAAAATCGATAAATTCAATCCAGACACAAACAATTTTTTCTGAACTGGTGTAATCCATTATGACACTGAAATGATTTTTTTGGTGACGACCTTTAATCTATGTCCCATTTCATCTTTTCGATGGAGGAAAAGGCCATTAAGGATAACGCTAGAAAATTTATTTAATATATCATTACAGAGATCTTCGTCTTTATCACCCGTTTTCCAATCCTACTACTACCACAGTATATAAATACATGCAGTAGTCCAACGAGGACGTCTAGACTGGGCAATCGTGCGGGGTGTGCGGGGCGAGACGCGGGAAGACGAGCCCGAGTTCCTTATGCCAATCTTATTAGTAGCTCAGGACACGACTTTCGGGGTTATCACGTGTTTGCTTTTATTATTGTTAAATTTAGTGTAGGTAGTTATAATTAAAATGGTGCCTACGAGCCTACGACGTGTGCTGTGAGAGATTGCAAGTCGTCATTTTAAGTCAAATAAGGATCTACGATTTCACTAAAATCCTGCTCACGGAAGAAAGGCAAATAAATATTGTTATTATTATTTTGCATTGTTTATATTATGTTATGTCATGCCAAATTGCCGACGTAAAAAATGGCGGGCAAAAAAAAATAGGTACAAGTCGCTGGGAATATGTTTCGAAGTTCATCCAAATCGTGTGGTTGGACAGGCTAAGGTCTTAGACCATACTATAGTGCCTCGTCTTCGGTCTTTTGAAGGTTTTATAAAATATTTAGGTTTAGTAATTACGAAAATAGCATTTATTTTTAAATCCAAGATGGCAGCCATTTTTTAATATATGTATAATATGGATGTAAAAGGAAAAATGGGTGTCAATTTCGAGGTGACTTGGGGTGCTGATTAGGAAAATAGAATCTATTTTGAAATCAAAGATGGTGGATTTTTTTTTAAATAATATGATACGGATGTTAATTTGTAGATTTATCCGGGTGACAATTATGAAAATTTATTAATAGGTATTGCATTTAAATATTTCAGATGCAAATTATGGATGGAAGTTATTGGAAGACCTGATTTAGTTGGAAGAACTTTCGAAAGTATAAAGAATAGATACATTTGCAGTTTGCATTTCGAAAAGAGTATACACGGAAAGAAATTACTGAAGAAAACAGCTATACCAACTTTACTTTTACCAACCGACGACTGTTGATAACGATGTAGATCTAAAATAAATAATTAAATCGTAAAAGTTGTTGATTTGTGACAATCTTAGTCTCCATGCGTTGTCCAGACGTTATCGGTATTTACCAGGGTATTTACGAGATCAAAGGTGTCGTCCTACTGTATGTCTTTATTATACTGTGCTACTACCATGAAACGTGATTGTCTGCCTTGTTTTATTTCAAAGAATTGATAAAAAAGGTAATTTTAAATATTATATATCTACTATCCTTAAAAAAATATATTTTGCATTATTATTTAGCAGAAACTCTTATTAGTTGACCGAGACAGTGCACTGGGCTTAAACATCGCCAACTTCCTGACTCGGATTTCGAACCTAGTGACTAGCTGTCGCGCTTACAACTACTGGACCAACGAGATGATCACTCACATTAGAGTGATGGGTATTTTTCCATTAGTTCGTATTTTTAATTAATAATGATACGCGTGACCATAATCACCCCGCCATGGTGGGTACACAATGCGCGAATTTAAATATTCTTATTCCTCAAACATGGAGGATTCCTCACATTGTATTCCTTCATAGCCGAATATGTGGTACTTCATAATTTCCATCAATTCATCCATTACAGTCTATGAGAGTCCACTGCTGAACATAAGCCACCCCCTTAGATTGCGTCATTGAGGGATTTTGCCATAGTTGCCATGCTCTGCAGACGGGTGTTGCCAGCAGATATTTTATTATTTTTATTTCTACTAGGAAGATGCTGCTGCCCATGTTCTCTTTGAGTTTCCGCCACCAACATTCCCAATATACCGCTCCCTGTAGCTGCTACCCTGGTCCGTGCCTCCACTCCCAACCCCTGCTACGCCACTGATTAATAAAGTTAGCTTTGATAAAGAAGCCACATTTCGAAAACAAATCGTTGATTGTTGTGGGTAGTCTTAAAATATTATATATTAGAAAACCGCCTTTATTAATAAAACAGTTGTCATCTGAACTCTGTTGTTTCATTGTCACTACATGGTGGCAGCGGTGAAAATACCTAAATAGTTTTGGATTTTACGTTTGAATAACGTTAATTTGTATTCTAAATTAAGTGTAAAGGATGGAGCATGCAAGACCGCCAACCGAATTGAATTTAGATGTCAGCCCCGTCGGCCGGGCTGACGCATGGAAGCGGTGGAAGGCACAATTCAATCTTTTTCTTAAAACATCGGGGGTGCACAAAGAAGAGGGAAGCATACAGGCGAGTTTGCTCATTAATCTGATTGGATCAGATGGATTTGATGTTAATGAGACTTTTACATTCGATTCAGAAGAGCAGCGTGAGGACATCGAAATATTGATGAAAAAATTTGACGAGTATTTCGGTGTTCAATCTAATATAACATTACTGAGATATAATTTTTTTTCGAGGTATCAAGAAACTGGTGAATCTATTGATCAATATGTAACAGCGTTAAAGTTACTCAGTAAAAATTGTGAATTTAAAAATTTAGAGCAAGAGTTGATTCGCGACCGTATTGTGTGCGGCATAAAGGAGCACAATTGTAAGGGACCGGTTGTTACGGACAGATGAATTGACTCTGGAGAAAGCAATTAAAATATGTCAAGCTGATGAAATGTCAACAGACAGCAAGCGTGTGATGGAAACAGGTAGCTTCGGCAGTTCGGCGAGCTACGGGCCCGTGCGCGTTGAGGCGCTGGCGATGCGCGGCGGCGAGCGGCGCGGTGGCGGACGCAGCGGCGGGCGCGGCGGCCGGCGCGGCGCGCGAGTTGCGCACGGCGGGACCGCGACGTCGCCTTGTCCGCGTTGTGGTGCTCAGTGTACTGATGTAGGTTCATGTCCAGCTATTTCGGTGAAATGCTATGTGTGCGGTAACTACGGTCATTACGCTAGGATGTGCAAATGTAAAAATAGTGTTAAAAACATGTATGAAATAGAAGTGAATACAGAAAAATCTGATAATGATGATTGTGAGTCGTTTTATGTATCTGTGTTAATGGATAAAACACAGAAAAAAATCGGCGGCGATGACTGGTACGAGGTATTAAGAGGTGAGTGTGGCTTTGAACGTTTTAAGCTGGATACCGGTGCCGACATTAATGTGTTATGTTATAAGGGATTTTTAACGCTGGGGTTTGACACGGAAATGATATGCAATAATAATAAAATGAAATTACAGTCGTTTAGCGGGGATGTTATTTCGATAAGAGGAGTTTGTCATTTTAAATGGTGGCATAAAAGTAAAATGTATGTTTTAAAATTTGCAATAGCAAATATTAATTGTGAAAGTGTGCTGGGTCGACAAGCGTGTTCGGAGCTAAGGTTAATTCATGTTAATAAAAACCAAAACATCAAATTATTAAAAAAAGGGAAACCTTATGGGTTAAACTGCGCTTCAGAGGTGTTTCATGCTAAGATTAAGCAATTAATAGAGGATTTAGATGGAGTAGATTCTTTTATAGACGATATAATATGCTGGGGACGAAATAAAGACGAACATGATAGGCGTTTAAATGCATTATTAAATAGGGCTCGTGAAATTAATTTAAAATTTAATAAAGATAAATGTCGTATATGCGTTGAGGAAGTGACTTACTTGGGTCATATATTTAACAAAAACGGGATGAAACCAGATTTAGAAAAAGTAAAAGCAATAAAAAATATGCCAACTCCAAAAGAACAAAAATCATTAGAACGATTTTTAGGAGTCGTAAATTATTTATCTAAGTTTATACCTAAGTATTCTGAGCGTATTTATCCGCTTACTCGATTATTGAAAAAGGACACAGAATGGTGTTGGGAGAGTGAACAACAGAATGCGTTTGATTTATTAAAAGATTTAATAAGCAAATCACCCGTGTTGGCTTTATATGACGTATCGCAACCGGCTGTAGTTTCGGTGGACGCGAGCAGTGTAGCGCTAGGAGCCGTGCTGTTACAGGGCGGCCGACCTATTGAATATACTCCACGTACACTCACCGACACACAGACACGAAATGCGCAGATAGAAAAAGAAATGCTAGCTATTCTCTTTGCGTGTGAAAAGTTCCACCAATATATTTACGGTAAAAGTGATGTTTTAATTGAAACAGATCATAAACCGTTAGAAAGCATTTTTAAAAAACCCTTAGATTCGATACCAGCACGCTTACAACGAATGATTTTACGATTACAATGTTATGATTTGATAGTTACATATAAGCCTCGAAAATATATGTACTTGGCCGATACATTATCACGTGCTCCTATTCCAGAACTATATAATGATAAAGTGAGTGATAATGTATTATGTCAAGTACATATGGTAGTTTCTAACATGCCCGTTTCACATAAAAAATTAAGTGTAATTAAAAATGAGACTTTGAAAGATAATAACTTAAAACTTTTAATGAGATATATAATATATCAGGGTTGGCCGGAATATAAACGAGATATTGAAGATAATTTAAAATATTATTGGTCTATGAGAGGAGATTTATTTTGTGTAGATGGCGTTATATTTAAAAACAAACAAATATTAATTCCCAGTTCCTTAAGAACCGAAATGTTAAAAATTATACATGATGGACATTTAGGGATAGACCGCTGTAAAAGGCGCGCACGTGAAGTGCTATTCTGGCCAGGGATTTCTTATGATATAGAGAGATATGTAAATAGGTGTGTAGTGTGTTGAGAGAATTCAAATAACTCGAGTAAGGAACCGATGATTGCTGTTTCTATTCCAAATTTACCATGGAGTAAAATCGGGACGGACATATTTCAGTATGGTAAAAAATCATATCTGATTATTGTGGACTATTATTCATGTTTTACGGAAGTAGTTACATTGTTACATGAAACTACTTCTAAAAGCGTCATAAACGTACTGAGAGAAAATTTTGCTAGATATGGAATACCAGACATTGCAATAAGCGATAATGGTCCACAATTTTCAAGTCGGGAATTTAAAAACTTTGCGGTGGAGTGGGGATTTGAACACATAACGTCATCACCCAATTACGCACAATCAAATGGTAAGAGTGAAAGAGCCGTGCAAACAATAAAAAAAGATATTAAAAAAAATCCATAGATAGTGGAAGTGACTTTTATTTAAATTTGCTAAGTTATCGAAATACGTCTCGCGATAATTTGAATTCTCCCGCACAGCTGCTGATGGGTCGTAGGTTAAAATGCAGGCTACCAGTGCACCCAGACCTTTTAAAAAAAAGGACATGTAAATAATGAGAGTCAACACAAAGTTATGCTAGATAAACAAAATAAATACAAAATGTATTATGATTTGCCGTGACGTGCCAAGCCTTTACCTGTATTGGATGTCGGCGATAAGGTGACTATGATAGAAAAAAATAATTCTAAAATTCCAGGTCATATCATTGCAAAAGCGGCGAGTCCCCGCTCATATTTTATTAAAACTAAAAGAGGAATGGTGTATCGCAGACATCTAATAAAAGATAAAACACAAGAAAATAGAACGTCAGCACAAATAGTACATGAGAATAAAGAACATAATTCAATGACAACAAAAACTACTTTTACGAGTAGTGAAAATGAGGAATATTCTTCGAACGATGAATATGAACCGACAATGTTAAATATTGAAGTTAATGAAAATTATTCTCCGCCTCTCACTCGAAGTAAAGTAAATAAAAACAAAAAATAACCGGTTTAATTAATCCTTTGTAATCACAAAAAAAAGGTTAAGGTTATGGTAAAAAAAATGTACTAAAGTAAGTTTTTTATTCATGTCTTTCTTGGTAAGATTATTTAAAAATAAATCACTTTTGTTAAAAACTTATTCTTTAAGGGGAAGGTGTTGTGGGTAGTCTTAAAATATTATATATTAGAAACCCGCCTTTATTAATAAAACAGTTGTCATCTGAACTCTGTTGTTTCATTGTCACTACAGTTGATGAGAGTTAATCGTCTGTTACAAGGTCTAGTATAGTGAAATGACTGTGTCATCGTAAGATCGTCTACCAAGACGCCAATGTCAAGCAAAATCGAATGAAATGTTAGTTATTCTCTAATTTTGCATCAATATATGATCTTAAATCTAGAAGAACAATAATTTCAGACTGATAAATAACTTTTTTCAAACAATTTAATTAACTAATTTTTAGGTATTCTAAGAACATCATTATAACATTAAATTATATTAAGTATCTACGCAAGTTCTTAAAGCTACTTAGATCGAAAAAGTTTTTTCATCGTCTTAACTTTGTAATTAGAAAGAGAGTATTTTATTTATGGACTGGTGTTACAATCATCAGATAAAAGCTAATAATAGGATAAAATACAACATAAACGAATTAAAAACTTTTTATATAAATAAAATATATCAATAGATTCTCTGTTATGTTCATAGTTATAATTTATTAGATGGATACATTTTATCTGATAATTAAATTTGCACTCCGGCAGTGCCGACAGAAGTGAAAACTTGAATATTAACGTTGTGCATTTTTGATATTTTGGAATGATTAGGGAATAATTTTGCACGAATTGCTTTAATTATCACACACGAACATTCGCGCAAGCGCCCTGCGCCGCCTAAACGAAACAGCAGGCGCAGGCATACATTTTCCCCCCCGAACGGGTTTCCCCCCCGAACGGGTTCCCGCCTTGTCGTGGCGGGGGCTTAGAAGCCGTGGCTTGGTCACCCACGGCGAAACAAAAAGGAACCCATATGGCTGGTCCGAGGTGGAGGGCCGGCCCGAGGTGGCCACTCCGAGTGGGCTTGGGAAGCCCACTTCGGATGTGTGTTGGTGGACTGCGGTGAGAGGTGTGTCCTCCCCACCTACTGCTGCAGCCGAGGTGGAGTCGCGGAGGAAGAGGAGTGTTTCATCACGGTATTGCGAGGCGCCGCTCTCCCTATCCTCCGCAGCCGAATCTTGGTTGGCGGCGGAGCCATAGACCAGATCCGCCGCTGGGGTCGGGAAGGCTAGTACTTCTAAGTGCTCGTTTTTCCTGGCCCCATGGCCTTCGCGCATCGGACGCGGGGGCGTCTGTTGCGCAGATGTAATTGGAGGCCGTGGAGGAAGGCGTGCCATGTGTTCTGGTGCGCCTTACTTGGAAAGGAGAGCGGGGAGGAATATTCCTCTCCCGATGAGGTGCTGCCATGGGGCGGCAGTCGCTGGTGGGGCCGCGGATGTGTGCGAAAGCGTTCCCGTATCCCTGCCAATATGCGACGAAGGTGGAACACCATGGGGTTTTAGTCGGTGCGAGTCCGACATAACCCGTCCTTGCCCCCGCGAGGCGGGTATGCGTAGGCACCGTTAAAAAGCATACATTTCACCGCGCCGTAGAAAGAGAGGGGGATACTTCCTCTCCTACGCCGTGCCGGCTGTCTCTCTCTCTCTCTCAAAATTCTATGAATTTTTGATCAGGGTTACGTGTCCTGACGCGAGTTTAAAATTTTTTTACCCATTACAAAAAAGTGTACAACGCCGCTAAAGAAGTTTTCACTTAAAAATCAGACCTAAACGAATTTTCTCTACGAATTAGTTTATAGGTTTTTTTTTATAGAAGAGGGGGCAAACGAGCATGCGGCTCACCTGATGTTAAGTGACTACCACCGCCCATGATAAACCGCAACACCAGGGGATTTGCAGGTGCGTTGCCGGCCCTTTAGAAAGGAGTAAGCTCTTTTCTTGAAGGTCCCCAGGTCGTATCGGTCCGGAAAAATTAAACTATTCCACAGAGAGGTTGTACGCGGAAGAAAACTCCTTCTGAAATGTACAGTGGTGGACCGCCAAGCATCCAGATGGTGTGGATGGTATCGGGACGTTTGCCGCGTAGTGCGTTCACGAAATTTGGCCGCTGGGATTAATCCGAACAATTCCTCAGAGCACTCCCCATGGTATATGCGAAAGAAAATGCAAAGAGATGCAACATCTCTTCGCAGTGCCAGTGAATCGAGCCGATCGGAAAGCACTCGGTCGTCGACGATTCGAGCCGCTCTGCGCTGTATGCGGTCAAGTGGAAGGAGCTGGTGCTGGGAAGCCCCAGCCCAGAGATGGGAACAGTATTCCATGTGCGGCCGAACCTGCGCCTTGTAAAGTTGCAAGCGGTGTGCCGGCATGAAATACTGTCCCGCTCTGCTGAGCACGCCAAGTTTTTCAGAGGTAACTAAGTAAACATCACAATGATCACAGCCTTTAAAATCTACTGCTGGACATAGGCTTCACTTATAGATTGCCTCATAGGGGATGTCCCCTATGAGTGATTTGCCATAGTTGCCACGCTTGGCAAGCGAGTTGGCAACCGCAGTTTTGTTTTTATTCGTTATTAGGAAGACGCTGCTGCATATTCACTGATTTGTTTTCGCTATGCGAAGAAGGAAAACATCATGAGGCATGACTGAGTAATAAAATATTTCTATATTTTATTACTATATTATACTTCAGCTTACAGTCGTTATGATCTGTAAATATTTTTATAGATCATAACGACTGTAAGCTGAAGTAACAAACAGCAAAGAAAACCGACAACAGATGGGGAAGAGTTCTCGAGTGGCAGCCTCATATCGGTAAGCAAAGTGTACGGGCCACCAAGTAAGGGCCACACACCCGCACTAGATGGAGTGATGACCTCTTAAAATATATGCGGGTAGTCGATGAATGCAGGTGGATCAGGACCACGCTTTGTATTACCATAGGTATTCCTTATATATATGTTATTTTTTAATACTGTCTTAATGTATTTTGATTTAAATAAAATAAAATAATTTACGCTGTTGTTCTGTGAGCACGTCGTCTTTCACCAGTCTAGCCGACCCATTCGGGCTGCAATCTATAGCTGCACTTGCTGCTACTCTAGGCCCTCTCTGTCCATAGCTGTTTTCGTTGAACAACAGAGCGAAGCCTTCCAGTGCATAGATCGTTTTCAAGTAGTTAAATATTTTCATTTGTATAAAAATTGAGATTTTCATGATGTAAATAAATGCACAAGCGTCACCTTATATAGTTGATATAAGTTTCGGTATATATCGGAACGTAGAGACTTGTATACCAATTATAAAATATGAGTCGTGCTGAATTTTTTTAAACTTTAATTTTGTTACCACATCCGTTCTCTCTCTTTATTTTATAAAATTTTAGGAACTATTATTTATTACACGTGTTTATTGTAAAATAATAATATGTTTTAGTAATACCTACGACTTCAAGTTTAATTAAATTAAAATTATAAATATTCATGATCCCTTATGCTTTAAAGTAATGTTGTATTTCAATTATATAATAAATTTTACTATAATAAACAGACATCACAGAACTCTCTTTTGACCGCAACAATGATATATTAGGTTAATAAATCCTTAAAGGGATAATATTTTTAAGTGAAATTCCAAATCGCCCGTGGCAATTTTATAAATAATGCCATGGTCACTGTTTATTTTATCGTGTTTACTTTATGTACATTACGTACGAGTTATTAAATATTCTTTAAAGTTTAAACGTTGTAATTATTTGAGAATGATCATGCCTTGTATATCAATAAAAAAAGTACATAGTTATCATCTTAATCGTTAGTGTTTAAGAAAAGGTAAATAAAATTTAGAAAATTTCTAAAATTTTCGGTGTTTTAAAACTATAACTCTACACATGCTCTTACAAACAGGTCTATCCAAACATAACGATTTCTTATATTTACGCGAATGCTACACATTAAATGAAAGTTATTTTACAGATCACATCGCGTTTAATTTTAACTTTTTAATTTCTGACGTTTCGGTGCTTTAACGTTCCACGTACGTACGTTGTATTAAAATAATTAATATTATATACAATGGCTGCTAAATGTGCATATTCGATTATTGGTAAGTAGTCAATTTTAAAACATTTTATTATACTAAGCAAGTGGGCAACAGCAGTAACGAAGGGAAGACGGACTCCGAGCCTGGTTTATCTCTCAGTATACACGCGCTGACGTTCTCTAGGCAGCCCAGCAATACTGACACTAGGAAGTCGATAGTTTCGTCACACGTAAGTTAATGTGTTTATAGTAATGTTGTTTTTAATTCTTAAGCTTTTTTGAAAAATGTTTACCAACACACTAGGATTTTCTTCTGTATCGTGGAGGCAGTTTACATACATAAACTGCACCAGGACAAACATCTGAACCCGAAACAATTATTTGCAGTCCATACAAATACTTATTCCGTGTGGGATTCGAACCTGCGTCTCTCAGCGCCGTAAGTCATTGCTATGCCACTGCGTCAGCTATTACATTCAACACACAAGATGTAAATAAGAAAATATAATGTATAGTATTACCAGATTTTTTTGTATATACTATATAAATAACTAGTACAAATTTTAAATTTAATGTTACAATCGTGTGACAATAAGGAGTTATTTGCCAAAAAAAGGCGGTTTAATTTTTTTTTCTGACTGAAAAAATACAATAAGAAAAAGCTTTTGATAATTTGAACATATTGCTGGCCAGTTATAAAAGTGCCGTGTTGTTTAAAAAAATTCAAATTTTATGCATGTAGTTTTTAATGAAAACAATTTTTTACTACATTTTGTGGTGCGAACTCCCTAACATACAGAACATAAGTCAATATCGACTCAAAATAGACTAGTCCATTTTTATTGAATTATCTCATTTTTTTGACATATCCAAAGTGTTCTCATTGCTGTTTAGCGGTCTCGAAAATGGTAGATAAAGTGATAAAAGCCAGCAAAATTATTGCGCTGTTTGAGGAGGCTTGCAGCCAATGCTTCGTGGCTCAGAGGCTAAATTTGAGTCGTTTGACAGTCCAAAAGACTTGGCAGCGCTATCAAGAGACCGGTTTCATCAGAACGCAGAGAGAAAGCCTGGTTCTGAAAGAAAGTCCTATACCAAACCACGGGATAATCGTTTTCTGGTAAGTCAAGCATTGAGACATAGCAAATCTTCGTATTGTTGGAGACCTCAAGAACAACCTCGAAGAAGTAAGAAATATGCAAATTATGTAATCGTTTTTATTAAACGTTTTTATTAAAAATAATGTTTTTGTCTTGTAATACATTTATCGACTTGACCGATTGAGGTCTTCAGTATTACATATTAGTCTATTTATTGAGGTTTTTGACTTGTATATATTTATCGACTTGACCGATTGAGGTCTCCAGTATTATATATTAGTCTATGGGTTGAGGTTTTTGACTTGTATACATTTACCGACTTGACCGATTGAGGTCTCCAGTATTATATATTAGTCTATGGATTGAGGTCTTTTTCACAACATACGAGTATACAGGGTTATTTTGCAATTAACGGTCAAATGTCCGGTTTCGTCTAACTAATTCTAATTAATTTTATAAATCTCAATAAAAACAGAAAAGTTTCGATGTCGATTCTCTAGGGTAAAATATCGATTCACTAGATCGATTCGGTACTATATATCGATATGACATTGACAGATGAAACGTCAAAAATGTGAGAATGTTTTATTAATTAGTCATTTACCAATATTTTTAAAAAATAATTAAAAATACTTCGACTTTGCTCCGGCAGCAAAAATCGCGTGGGGGTGCTTCAGATAAACCCTCTTGACACACACAGTGACTGAATCTTCAAATTCAGGCGACCGAATTGTAAACCCAACCCCAAATTAGTCAGGAGGAGGTCGGTGCCAATACACTCGCAGTCGCAGGCTGTGCACGAAATTGTGTGTCATAGACTCAAGAAGATGTGGACAGGGTATTGTTCTCCGTTGAAGCCGGGATATCTCTGTATGGTGAAGATCGACATCAGCGAGTGCTACGATAATGGGGTGAATGCTTTGCAGAGGCATATTTTTAGGAAATTACATCTTATGATTGAGGAAAATTTCGATTGATCGTATGTAGGTAGTCTTCATTGAAAACAGCCCACTGACTGGACACCGATATATAACAGAAGTTTTAATTTCTCATTCACAACTCGCATTGACCGATTTTGACAAAAATGTTTATAGACGACAAGAGGCTAGTAGTCGGAGTTCGTCGTTTCTATGGGCCAAATTGAAGTCCCAACCTAAAAGCCCGCAGAGCACATCAAGGATGTTCTGAAGTGCCGAGTGAGATCAGTGCGGCCGGCTCCAGAGACCATCAGAGAGTTAAAGAACGTGATTACCGCGGAGTGGGAACGTATTTCGCAAAAACGTACTCCTTTCCAAATGGGCGATGATAGTCACTTACCATCAGGTAAGCTGCATGCTCGTTTGCCCCATGTGATATAAAAAAATCATGAGAGATAGACTCGCTAGCATGTCCAGATGAATGAAAGCTGTGATTTCAGTTAGAGGAGGTCACACTCCTCACTAAACTGAGTCACTGTTTTTTTTTTACTTGAACTTTTACTAAAAATAAATCTTTTATTTTTACTTGGCGAGCAAATCCAATATTAGAGCTTTGAACTTTAATATTATTTCTCATTTAATGATTTCTTATTACGCAATTACTACACGTGGAATAAAAATAAATTTACGGATTTTATCGCGTTTCATTTTAACTTTTTTGATTCCCGAAGTTTCAGGCACTTTCCAACGTCCATGATTACGGGGAGGGGGGGGGGACTGAGGAAACCTGTATTTCTGAGAAATAAAAATAAATATTTCAAACACATGTGAAGCCCACCGACAGGCAATGGGACAGCGCGGCGGACACTTCATTGCCCTAAAACTCTCTCAGAAATGAGGGGAGGCCTGTACCCAGCAGTTGGACGTATAAATGCTGTAACTGTAACTTTTTTACGAAATCCACGCAAGAGAGTCCAGGTAGCAGATATATTCTATAAGAATGTTTCTTTGTTTTTCCCGTATACATTTATTTTTTTCATTTTTCAATTTTCTTTCCATTCATTCGATTTTAATGAAACGCAAAAGTAATATGTGTGGGATTTATTATTATTACGTAATCAAAACACTTGACTTTAAGTTTTATTGACATGATGCTGCGAACGTGTTCACACCTACGCGAGTATTGGTTTTGCGTATCGTAATGTTTTTGTACAGTAAGATTTTACGATTAAGGAAACACACCTTGTGTAATGAAGTTTTTCCTATTGTCATAATTTTAAATACGTTACTTATTTATTTATATTAATTATTTTTATTATTTATAGCTTTTTTCATACATTAAAACACAAAAAGGCTTGTAATAAAAAAGATTAGTGTATTATTTTTATAATAATGACTAGGTAGAAGAAATATGATTATTTTGTTCACTTGTTCCAGTTATAACATTGTATGGACTTATATGTAAAAGCGATCGAGTAAAACTGGCACATTTTAAATATTAGAGTGAATAAAATGCTAAACAGCAGATTTCGGAACAAAGCAGATACACTGCCATGGTACTTTACGTTATTTATGACCTATTTTCGTTATCTATCGAAGGCTATGAGTTGATCTTGTCATTTGACTTGCTGGCTTTTACGACGATAATAACTTTTCTTCGTGGATTCTTTTGTGTATTATTGAGAATATTTCATGAAACTGCTAAAGATAAGTGTAAGTAAAGCATAATTAATCTATCCATTGCAGCCTATAAAACTCCATTGCTGAACATTGACCTCCCCCATAGATTGCCTCATAGGGCACTTTGGGTGATTTTGCCATAGTTGCCACGCTTGGCAAGCGGGTAATGCAACCGCAGTTTATTATTTTGAGTTATTATCTGGATGACGCTGTCTTCCATCTCCCGATTTGTTTCGACACCCACGGGATGATATGTGGTACCTAGTGGATATTCTTACACCGCCACTTACGGGTATTCCTATCCGAGTTGAAATAAAAACTGTAGTCGAATCAAATGGGTTGACTTGACTGGGTAAGGGGTATGTGTGTTAATGTTACCTAACCTTTTACTTTAAAAACCTAAGAATTGAGCACTTTCAATCGATAGAAGTAAGGAGTTCCAAAGTTTGAATTCAATAACAGAAAAATCATGTAGGGATCTTGAGATCAATATGTTAATGAATATGTATAGAGAACGAATATTAGAGCACAGAAAATCAAAATATAGGTCTACGAGTCAGTCTGAGTAGGTTTCCCGCAGCTTATTCAATTTTTTTTATAGGATAGTATGACAATTGAGTAGCTACGGTCCACCTGATGGTAAGTGGATGCTGTGGGCCATAGACATCTACATCTAATCACTAATATCATATCAGGAATATAAGCACTCGAAAATACGCGTAAAATAGCAGTAAATATAACACAATAACGTTACGTCGCTATATATCGGGACCCACCCGTGGACGACAAAGCTAGTATAACCAATTGCACTGCTGTGTTCATTCAACTGTGAAGCATCCTGCAAATGAACTGTTCTAAATAT